TTTTTTAAAAAGCTCTTTTAGTGGTTGCCCTTGAGTTTTCAGTCCACATTTGCAAGTAACCCACTTTTTCTTCCAAATAACACTATACCATTTCACTGTGTGCAAGTACCTCTGAATACACTATTCCCCATTTCCCCTCCAGGTGCCTTGTCACATTGCTGTCATTTATTTCACTTGACCATAAGCTTCTCAATACCAAATACATTGTTGCTAATATTATGTTAAACACAATGTCATGTTATATTAATGATACAATATAAAATTTATTTTACCTTCATGTTTTCCTTTTCTAATCCTCTCCCTTTATCATTTACATTCTTTCTGATAATTTTTTGAACATTTCATTCAAAGTAGGTGGACTCATGACAAATTTCCTCAGTTTTTGTCTCAGAAAGTCCTTATTTCTCCTTTATTTTTCGATAATTTTGCTTTCAGAGAATTCTAGAAGAGTGATTTTTTTTTATTTCCAACACTTGAAATATTTCACTCTAGTCTGTTCTTGTTGCATGGTTTTTGAAAATAAGTCCAATTTAATTCAAATCTTTGTTTCTTTGCACCTGAGTTGTGCTTCTTCTCTGGTATTTTTTGATATATTCTCTCTGTCTTTGATTTTTCTCTAGTTTGAATGTGACATCCTTGGGTGTGCAATTTGTAGTTTAACATGTTTACTGTTCTCTGAGCTTCCTGGATAGAGAATTTGCTGGCTATCATTAATTTTAGGATATTTTGGTGATTATTTCACTTGTTTCTTCTATTAATTTCTATCCGTTTTTTTCTTTCGGGTATTCCCATGATGTGTATTTTAAACCTTTTGTTAAAGAGGGTTGTTCTAGGCTTCATGGATATTGTCTTCTTTCTTTGTTGTTCTTTTTGTTTAATCATGATAAAATTTGTTTCCTTGTATAGTATTTCTGTCATTTTGGAATATACTCTTGATCCTGCCTTTATGGAGAAATAAGAAGAAATGTGATCACAGTAAAAACGTGTAAAATAATTTCCATGTGTTCATGATGCTGTTAAATTGATGAGGAAGTGTCTACAGAAAAACAGTGAGTTTTTGATGATCACATCATAGAATAAATGTTTGGAGATGACAGAATCATATGTAACTTTCCTACGTATGGAGTACAGATTGTCAGTGGTGTCAGCCTTATGCATCCTACTCTACACATATTTGTGATGTTTTAGGAGTCAGTGGCCATTGAGGATGTGGCTGTGAACTTCACCCCAGAGGAGTGGGCTTTACTGGATCCTTCACAGAAGAAACTCTACAGAGATGTGATGCGGGAAACCTTCAGGAACCTGGCCTCTATAGGTAAGAATGAGGATATTCCTTCCCTTCATCAATTAGAGAACAAGTGTTTCTTGCCCATCAACATGGTTCCAAGATGTAGAATGTGGAAGGGGGAGATGTTGAAAAATAAACTAGAAATGGTCATAGCTCATCATGGTCTTAGAATCTAAGTTTTCCTATAATTTCTAATACTTTGGAATCAACTTTCTGGTTCTGTAATTCAGGAAAAACGTGGGAAGATCATGATATTGAAGATCGGTACAAAAACGAGGGGAGAAAAGAGAGGTGAGTCACACTCACAACAGAAAGCAGCATCTCATCTGAGAATCCTGGTATGTTATGAAATTTTAAAAAGATGTAAACAAGACAAATAACCATTGATTCAAATTTAGCTATTAGAAAATTTTCTTGACATATACTTTCTGAAATGTGATGTAGAGGTTCAGCTTTTGCAAAATATTTTACTTGGAAACAGTTTTAGTAAACCCTCTATATAAATATCACTGTTTGGATATTATCAAGGCTGAAGTCCTCTTGAAAAGCATTCAATATATTCAACTTTTGAGAATTCAGACAAGGCAGAAAACCTAAATTTTTCTTATAAATTATAATAAATGTGACAAATATAAAATCATTAATGAAGAAATCATTAAAATGTCATTCTCATTTTTTACAGAATTCATATGGTAGGGAGACTCTATGAAAATAAAGAGGGTAGTCAAAGTGGAGAAAACTTCAGGCTCATTCCAAACCTCAATCTGAACAAGAAAACTACTGAAGCAAAACCATGTGAATGCAGTGCATGTGGAAAAGTCTTCATGCATCAGTCATTGCTTAATAGGCACATCAGATGTCACACTGAACGCAAAGCCTATGACTATCAAAAATATGGAGAGAAAACATATAAACATAAGGAATATGGGAAAGTCTTCACTTTCCCCAATTTTCTTCAAATACATGAGATAACTCATACTAGAGTGAAACCCTACGAATGTAAAAAATGCACTAAAGCATTCACTTCTTCTAATTCTCTTCGAGTACATGAACGACGTCACACTGGAAAGAAACCTTATAAATGTAAGGAATGTGGGAAAGCCTTCATTTCTCTCACAAACCTTCGAGTACACATGGTTACTCACACTGGAGATGGACCTTATAAATGTAACAAATGTGAGAAAGTATTCATTTATCCCAGTTCGTTTCGAATACATGAAAGGAGTCACACTGGAGAGAAACCCTATGAATGTAAAGAATGTGGGAAGGCCTTCAGTTTGTACACTAACTTAAAAAAACATACAAGAACTCATACAGGAGGGACACCATTTGTATGTAAGGAATGTGGTCAGACTTTTATTTCTCTTCGAGTTTTCCAAATGCATGAAAGAAATCACACTAGAGAGAAATCCTATGAGTGTAAAAAATGTAATAAGGCACTCGGTTCTTCCAGGTCTCTTCAAAGACATGAAAGAAATCACACTGGAGAAAAACCCTATGAATGTAAAAAATGCAGTAAAGCATTCTGTTATCCCAGTTCTCTTCGAGCACATGAAAGAATTCATACTGGAGAGAAATGCTATGAATGTAAGGAATGTGGGAAAACCTTTATAGTTCTGTCAAGCCTTCGATCACACATGATCTCTCACACTGGAGATGGACCTTATAAGTGTAAGAAATGTGACAAAGCATTTATTTCCCCCAGTGCATTTCGAACACATGAAAGGAGTCACACTGGAGAGAAACCATATGAATGTAAAGAATGCAGTAAAGCATTCAGTTACACCAGTTCTCTTCGAAAACATGAAAGAACTCATACTGGAGAGAAACCCTATAAATGTAGAAAATGCAGTAAAGCATTCACTTCTTCCAGTTCCCTTCGAGTACATGAAAGAATTCATACGGGAGAGAAACCCTATGAATGTAAGGAATGTGGGAAAGCCTTTATAGATTCCTCGAGCCTTCGATCACACATGATGTATCACATGGAAGATAGACCTTACAAATGTAAGGAATGTGAGAAAGCATTCATTTATCCCAGATTACTTAGAAGACATGAAAGAAGTCACAGTAAAGAATGTGGGAAAGCCTTCATTTCCCATAAAAGTTTCCAAATACATAAAAGAAATCATACTGGGGAGAAACTATATGAATGTAAAAAGTGTAGTAAAGCATTTAATTTTCCCAGTTCTCTTCAAAAACATGAAAGAACTCATACTAACAAGAAACCCTATGAATGTCAGGAAAGTGGGAAAGCCCTTATTTCTCATGCAAACTTATATGAGAATGCACACTAGAAGAAAAACTATATAAATATAATGAATGCATGAAAGCCTTTTGTCATCCCAGTTCTCTCTGAATGTGTAAAAGGACTCACTTGATAAAAACCTCTTGAATGTAAACAGTATGGGAAAGACTTCAAATGACCTACATCATTATATGTGAAACTCACACCAAAAAGGAAATATAAAAGTAAGTCATGAGAAAGCTTGATGGAAATTTACTTGCGTGTGATGTTCTAGAATACTTTCAACGTGAAGGAGTTGTTGTAAAAGTTGTAAATATATTTTGTTTAGCAAGCCTCTTTTTTAAAGTCCAACATTGGATTGTGGATTTCTATTAATTTCTTTCAGAAATTAATATCGAGGTGAGATAATTCTGCTAGTCCTCCTTCCTCAATAGTACAAAAGATTGATAGGTAGTGGTTTTTCCTGAAATCAGTGAGTAATATTTTTTCTTTAATTGTTTTTATAAGGTTTTAATTTTTCTGTTATGGGGACACTGAAAAATGACAGTTTGTATTTGTTGGGATTTTCTTACTGGCCTTGTATTGCAGATCCTGGATATGCCTAACCCATTGTATATATTTTTCCCTTTTTAGAGAAAGCTCCTTTTTTGGGGTGATGAGTATAGAAGCCTGTTTTTATTTTCCATACTATTCAACAGTTGGAATAAATTTTTATGTGCTGCAAGTTTATCAAAGGGTATAGTTTCATGTGAATTCTTATTTTCATATTTGGGCCTTAGCTCTTTGTCCTTTCTTCTGACTGGTATTTGGTGAATAGACTTCGAATTAAGTAGAGGCCTGTGATAGGGCAACAAAATCTAGAGCTGGACATATCACCCTGTATTGTGTTATGTCACTGAGGGTAATATTAAGAACTAGATCTTTAAGAATTCACCCCCTTTATGGTTCCATGTTGGAATTCACTAGTAGCCTCACTTGCATGAGATTTGGAAGGGAGAAGCAAACAAGGCATTAGTCAGATTTTGGAGCCACCATACAAGGAGAGAGATAGTTACATGAGAGCTTTGAGGACACCATATTTCATTCCATTTTCTGGATTCTTTGCCCTTCTAGTCAAGATCATCTTGAAAACCATTCCCAACTCTGATTCTTATTTTCTTAGAAGTGTTTTTTCCACTGATGTTTTCACAAGTTTCACATCAAAGATCCATTAGAGTTAGGATTTTTTTGTGAGGCTTCTTGTGTCCACCAGGAAACTAATTCAGATGTTTGTGGTTGGGAGTATTCTCTGGTTCCGTTCTTCTCTAGATGATGTCTCTATAAGGTCTCATTTTCTAATAGGAAACACTTTATGCTGTTGATAATTCTCATGACTGTGTTCCTGATTCACCATGACATCTACAATGAGGCATAAAAAGAAGGACCTGGGAGTTTGTTTCTCTGCTGCATTCTGCAGTGGCTGCTTTGACCCAGTTCTCCCACGTGAGAACAGTCCCCTTTCTCATGTCAGGAAGACTGTTTCCTGTTACTTGTAGCTGAATGTATTCCCTCAATATGTTTTCAATAATGGTTGATTGTATGTCATTAAAACTACATACATTTTCTTGTGAAATGAGCACTTCTGTGGTTGTTTCATTGATATATTTTATTAACTGTTCTAATCCATTGTATGCTAATGAATATTATTGTGGTTTTCATTTCCTCAGGTTATATTAAAATCCATTTAATTATGGATTTTCAGATATACTTTGCAATTTTCTTCATTTAATCATTATATATTGTGAGTAAATTTTATTATGTGCATACAAGTTCAGGTAGTTTTTCCTCAGGGAAACTGTAATTTTTATTCTTTTATAATTACAAGTTTTGTCCTGAAACAATCTCTCATTTATTCTTAACCCAAAACTTAACAATCCTGATTTTTTCAGTACCTTCTTACTGGTGACCTGCAGGATTGAACCTATAGTCAAAGAGAGGTGTGTAATGAATGGGACTTGAGACTTCCTGTTAATTTAAACCACAGATATTTGTGGTGTCTTTTTATATTTAATGTCATTTTAGAGGATTTTTATTTACCTTTAAATATTTAAAATCTTGTAGTCTTGGCATTTTCCTTTTGCTGCTGTACAGACTGTGTGTGCACCGTATCCCCCATGAAACCATGGAGTTCCTCCCATTTAGAGAAACAGTAATATTCATCTGCACTGCTCCAACTCTTCCTGAGTGTATTCTATGTGTAGAGTGGTATTTATGCAAGTCCACTGTGATCTCCCAGTGGAAACACCAAAAAGAGAGGCAGTCATCCAAGGAATAGTTGAGGTGAGCTGCAGAGAGTATCATTTTGAATAATAGCCTACTAGAGTATAAAAGAAGTGGGAAATAATCACTGTCTTTTTTAGCAGGAGTAGCTGAAAGTCTTTAGTTGCAATGACCCACAAAGCCCCATTGCCCATTTAGCTGTTCACTGGTTTCACTTCCATATGCTTAGACATCCAGCGATGTGGAAAAGTCAGAAACAACAGTAACAGCTATGAGGTTTAATAAAGAGCAGAGAAATTATTACTCTTTTCCAAATTTTAGTGTTAACGTGTATTGGAGGGATGTCTTTCAAATGGGCACCACAAGAGTATTCTTTTTGATGGTGGCACATATTCCATCTTTTGATGACAGGATTCCTATACGTTTGTGACAATTAACAACTATGCATAAAATATTACATATTTATATTATTAATATTAAATGAATAACAGAATCACTTTCATATGTTAGGAGAATGTTAAGCTCTCCTGATCCTTGATTTTTATGCATTCAACACTTCTTTCTAGCACTGTGGGATCCTTCTTAGGAAGAATTGAAATATTGAAAAGAAGAATTCAGTCCCAAACAACAGGACTTTCACACAACCCTGTCTTAATTGAGAAAACACCCCCTAGCGTTGCCCCTGCCCTCGTCTCATACTCATAACTAGGAGTGAAGTGAGAGGGCTCCTAGAATCTTTAAGTTTAAATCAGGTTCTGTGGACAGATCTGTAGAAATTCTGTGGTTCTGAAACAAAAAGGTGTCAGGATCCTAAGTGGGGTCTGTCTGGGGACAGCCTCATCCATGTGCAGCAGCATCACTTCTTTCCATTGTTACCCACAGACCATTTCCAGCTCTTTTTTTCTCAACTCGAGCCTACTTGTGCCTGCTTACGTGGGAACAACTTTAGAAATCCATGCAGATCCCACTTTCGAAAACTTCCCTGAGACAATGCCAGGGGCCTGTGAGCTGAGAAGGTCACAGAAGCAGTGGTAGAAACCATGTCATGGGCACATTCTGTCAGCCACAGCTGTCACAGATTTATCATATCTACTTGCTTACATGTAAGCATTTGCTTGCTTATTTAAAGCTGACTGAATTTGAATGGAGAAACAAATGGTTCTCGAATTTGCCAAAATAATAGTGCCTCTGTTAACACCTCCTTCCACTTGCTCCTTTCCAGTAGAGGCTTTAGCAGCCTCCTATTATGCATACAAGGCTCTCCAAACTTCCCATGGTGGACATAAGTTGCCCAGAGCATTCTTAAACCAAACCTATTCTCCTCATCCAGTGCTGCACACAATTAGAGAAGGCACTATGGCAACTGACAGTCTTTTTAAATGTGAGGGCCCTCTCAGGCCCTGAGTTAATGATCTTCCACAGACAGCTTCCCATTTAGCCTTGGTTCATGAATGCAGGACCCCTCAACTAGCTGACCAGAGGCCTCCTCATTGAAGAGATATGGTTACTTCCAGGATGGAGCCAAAAATGGCACTTCTGGCGTATATCACACCTACAGGAGGAAGTGTTTTCCCCTCAGCTCTGATTGATGTAATACATACTGGAGGAGGTCACCTCCTTTTTAGACACATTGTCCACTTTGGGAGTGACTTGGGAGCACATGAATGACCAGGGCGCTCATATACTTTATGAACAGTGTGCACCACCACACCTGATGGGGTCCACTGCAGAGTAGCTGTGTTCTTTCCCTGGATCAAACAGGCCTTCCCTGAGCACAGATTGGATCAGATTGATTAGTCCAACTCCAGGTAGGGGCCAGCCAGGTGGCGTAGTGATTAGGTTCATGCACTCCGCTTTGGCAGCCCATGTTTCACAGTCTCGGATCCCGGGTGTGGACCTGTGCACCGCTTATCAAGCCATGCTGTGGTGGGCGTCCTACATGTAAAATAGAGAAAGATGGGCACAGATGTTAGCTCAGGGCCAATCTTCCTCACACACATACACACACACACACAAAATTCCAGGTAATCGTGCTAGCAATAGAGAATTCCCTGGCCGAGAATCAAACTCATCTGCACATTTTTACAGATCCTTTGCCCACTGCCAATGATGTAGCTGTGCAGTCCCACCAATAGCAACAACTCCTTATTTATCCAAGGTCGCCCCCTTTGGCATAAAAAACTCTGGGATATCCTGCCTCACAATATCCCAGTACGAATCAAAGTCACTCATTACTCTGCACATATTAAACCTCAGTCTGCAGAGGCTGATTTCATTGCTCAGGGCAATAAATTCACTCAAATTTCTGAGACACATACTGACACCTCAGACCTGATGGCATTAATCTTGGCCCATGGGCCCCTGTGATATGAAACCATTAAGAGGTCTCTAACCTAAAGGACTAGGCAAAATTCAAGGGACTTCCCTCCTCTACCATGGATAACTTAGTGACTGACCACCGCACTTGATGTGAACAAAACATGTCACAGGTAGTATAATCCATGCACGTTAAGCCCAGGCGGAGGAAGTGATCCCTACAGCTGGTGACAAATAGACTTTTGGGGCTCCTCACCCCTCTGCTGGGCTACTTGCTGTGCTCAGACCATGGTAGAACCTAATACAGAAAAATGACTCACCCTGTCATACATGATCCTCCTGAAGCCAGGATCAAGGACTCACCAAGACACTAGAAATTATTGGTATTATCAACTAATGTCTCAAAATTTAAAAAAAATTGGGCTCTTGAAAAAGGTATTCAGTGGATCTTGTACCTCTCTTATGACCCAGGCCGCAACCCTCTTAGGATGGCCTAATGGCTTACTTAGACAAACCTTGTGTTCTAGATAGATGTTCCTGCTGTTTGAGTTACATTGAATCCCCAGTCCTTGGGGCTTATTATTTTGTTCTGATCATCAGGCTTACTGGCACCTTATAACTAGAGCCTTTCTATTCTAGACATTTCTGTCAGAATGGGCACTCCTACAGGTTTTTGGTTTGTTGTAATAGTGCACCCTAACCAGCACTCTTACATCCCACTCTTTGGTATTTCTCCTAATATCACCTGTAGTCTGCATGCCCTGCATGTCAATATTCATTTTGTGTACTTTCAATCAAACCCCTTCAGTCCATCCAACACAAATATGCTGTTTTCCTACCATTCGCACTCATGTGCTCATTGTTGTGGGAGCCACTGGTCCTGATCTGGGCACATGTGATGTCATTCAACAAACACATCATTAATGCCAATCAAGAAATGTCCAAAACACTCAAAATACATGTAGCAGACAGCTATTGTTTGAGATGTTTTCCATGAAATAAAACTTCCTGGCAGCCATGGTAGCTGATGACTACTTGGATTTGGACTATGTATTAACCAGCCAGGGAGAGTTCTGTTCTCCTAAAAGGGCTGCTTGCTGCCTGTGGGCAGGCTACACTGGCAAGGTGTCACCAATAACACAAGAAACAAAACAAGAAATTAAAATAAACAGTAGCATTATTAAATATTTGAACAGCCTACTGGAACCATACTGACACACTTACCTGGATCTCTCCAACACCCTGGGATAACTGGATTCGAATATTTTTGGAGGCTTTGTGATCCTAATAATAATTTCTTGTGCTTTTCACATGGCTTTTCAATTAACATTCAAATTAAAATTCCTTTAATGAGATGTGTCATTCAGTAAATAAGCTTCAGGAGTGAACTTTAATAAAGACACTGACCTCATTTTTAAAATTAGAATCTTCATCAGCTTTAGATACCTGCTCACCCAGTCTGGCCCACAATGGGTAAATAAGTCAGGAAGGTTGACACATGCCACTTTTCTTTTTGTGCCAATGGTTAAGAGGGTCAAACCTTGAAAACCTGCAGCCTCTACCCCTATACACCTTAAAGCTTCTAGTCATCCTCCCTCCACAAGCCACCCCAACCTGCTTTGCCTTGCCCTACTCTCCTTAGAAAGTACCTGTGAGTAACAAACATATTTCTATTCACTTGATGAATGTGGTGCATTGTCTTGACATCCAATCCCATTTTAGGTAGGGTGTTAATCCTGACCCCAAAAGGGCAATGGTAAAACAGAAGGTAACCAGTGGAAAGTGTCTTTTGGGTGACAAACAGGTATTCAGGTTAGGGAATTTTTATAAGATGAGAAAAAGATATCCAAATACAGAGATTCCAGTATGATAATGTTTTTAAATGAATTAGTCACAAAAGAAAAAGACATGTACTATGGATTAGTTCTATGGTACTAATC